AATTCCGAAATAAAATTTGTAGGTATGTATTCCGAAATAAAAATTTGTAGGTATCTGAGCGGGGCGCAGGGGCGCCTGGGGGAGAGAGGGAGGTCTGTTTAGGTAGTAGTAATCGTACGCATTTATAGGGTTGTCATAGGCAGGTGTAAAACGATATTTTTATTAATTTAATTAGAAAATAAAAGTGGTCTGAAAGGCGTCAAACTTTCGTAGGTAATTCTATACAAGGAACACAACCAAACCCTAAAGTTTTATTTCGGACTTTTGTCACACCCTGTATATACACATACAATACAAATATACATACGTACATATATATAAAATATATCGATGATGAGACTGAAAGGGACTTAGGAAATGAGTTTAACGTTAATGTGGAAGGCTATCTTCTTCTTGACTTCGTCCGCGTGGTTCTATTGATTTCCGATACAAATTTCCACATTCCTTTTCCCCTATGTATAGAAAATGCATTACGCATACTTCGCCAACCGAGGGTTGCGGACGAAGCTATCGGGGACTCCTCTCCGCCGCTTCAGGGAACACAAGTGCTCCGAGAAGCAAACGGGGCATTACCTCGCCAAGAAGGCGACCGCCATAAGGGCGACCGTAAAAGCTAGACAATACTCCTACACCGGTCACCCGGCGCGCATTATGAGGGACCGCGGTCCCTCCTAGTTAGTGCGCACCGGGAGTGCGAGTGATGTGGCGGTAAGCGGCAAGCGGACCCGCCCCGATGAAGATGCCCCGGAGTATTAGGGGCATCAACATCCAGAGAGCTTGTGCAATGCAAGCCTGGCCCCCTCAGGACAGACTCGCGGCCCTCACGAGAGTGGGAGGGAGAGCGTAGTTCTCTCCTTTTCCCCTCCTCAAAGAATGATTTCTGGGATAAAAACTATTCTATAACCGTTCCCGGGACTCAAACTATAAAATATAGGTACCCCATTTCATCGAAATCAGTTCAACGGTTTAAGCGTGAAGAGGAAACAGACAGGAATACAGACAGACTAAATTTCCTTTTTTATAATTTTAGTACGGATTTGGAAAAACGAAGGTGTTGCCGACCTCTTTTATAGATTTAGTTTTTATGGTTTTTCGAAGTGTTTTTAAAGTATTGACATTTTTATGATTTTTGCTTTCAAAATTGTTATTGTGTGTCATAGTCTTTGCCTGTCATCAGATATAATATTATTTTGTGTTTTACTATAAAATCGTTTTAAAAAACCCATTGCGTCCTAAATCCTAGCCTTCATATTCCATTCCACTAGCTCTCCGCTTCAGAAGGTCTACTTTATTAAATAAATTCAAATTAATTTTAAAAGGCAAATAATACTGCACTACTTTATGCTACATTTCTGTTAATTATGAGAAATTTCATTAGCCTCTTAATCACACTAATATTATAAAGGCGAAAGTTTGTGAGTGTGTGAGTATGTGAGTGTGTATGTTTGTTACTTCTTCACGTCTAAACGGCTGGAGCATTTTAATAAACTTTGGTATGGAGTTAGCTGACACCTTTACATTATAGGCCATTACAAGGCACATTGCAAATGTGGGAATATATGGCAGTGTTACCACGATCTGAATAATAGAATTACAAAAAGTAATAAGAAAGTAATGTGTTGTATAATATATTTAAAGAGAAGAAACACAACTTTTTTTTATTAAATTATTATTGTTAGTCAATATTTGTTTTATTTATTGCATTAATCACTTTAAATAAGATTGGGTATTGCATAAGCAGGAAGTGGCGCCTGTTCAAGCAATACCCATTATGCACTTGATTTCGAATTTGCTCGTATAATTCTACAAGCGTTCAGTTTTAATAATGTCTGAAAGTTCAATTGATTATAACTCTTTATCCTTAAAAGCTAGGAGGTCCTAAACGATATATATTAAGGTAGCAACCTAGTAGCAACTATTGCTTTAAAAAAATCTCTATTTAGTTACACAGTTTGTTCTCACTGGATAGGTGACCAGCCATTCTGACGTCAGAATGGCTGGTCACCCTAAAAAGTAGTTGATTTTGTTTTAATGGGGGGTAGCAACTATTTAACGATTAGTAGCAACTAGAAGCAACTAGGTAGCAACTTTCTATAATTATTTCGATGTAAAATATGGGTAGTGACCGGCCATTCTGACGCTCACGATAAATCCCGAAAAAATTTTAGGTTCCAGAGGGATTTTCAAGAAACTAAGTTAACGCAGACGAAGTCGCGGGCGACTTCTAGTATATAATATAGAAGGAGGAGGCGTGTATAATTTAGAGTAGGTACTCTATTTTAAAGTATAGCCTAGATACACAAACGAGTAAAGTGTTCGCTTTCCATTAGTCGACGTAATGGTGGTATATAAAAAAAACCAGCTACGTTCGCAACTGGATTCAGTTAAAACACATTTTTAATGTTTCTGACAAAAAAAATACTAAAAACAGATAGCCTATTAAAAAGTCGCCTGCGAGTAGGGCTGCCATCTCTAAAATGTGGCAACCAGGATAAGACGCGTGATAACCCCGGATTTTGAAGCCCAGAACCCAGACAGACCAATAAAAAAACAGTTAAAAATGTCACAAATCAACTTTTTTTATGTTGATCTAGGCAAAAGAGCTGCGCGGTCTAGGTAGCGGTCTACCTCATAATAAGTGGTCACTGCTGCCCATGGACACTTGCAGCACCAAGGGCCGCTCATGCGTTGCCCTAAATTTTTAAACCCGGACTACATATGAAACCCCGCCCGGATGCTCCCCGGACGCCCCGTAAACTAGGACAAATCCGGGGAAACCCGGACGGATGGCAGCCCTACCTGCGAGCTATATACTATTACTGACTAGCTAATACACGTGCAAAACACAGTTTAGCGCTGCGCACGTGACTTTCATCTTTGCCGTTTATTGCAAGATTAAGACAGATTATCGTTTAAGCGCCACAGAACAATAACAGTTGGTTCGCGTGAAGATAAATACACAGTGATGAGAACTGCACAGATATGGATGAATAAACAATGTTCACTTTTTACTGATTTTTTTTAACGAATACTAGGCCTTTCGTAAGCAGTGCTACGCAATCTTCCATATCCAATGATATTATATATATCATTGTTCGATACATGTCTACTTTGGTCTCTAAGAGACTACCTACAACTATACAAAACAAAATGTCAGCAACGCGTGCATGTGTACGAACCTCTATGATTTGTATTGCGGTAGTCGCTTACCGCCTTTTTTTAACGAATGCTAGGCCTTTCGTTAGCGGTGCTACGCAAATCTTCCATATCCAATGATATTATATATATCATTGTTCGATACCTGTCTACTTTGGTCTCTAAGAGACTACCTACCACAATACAAAACAAAATGTCAGCAACGCGTGCATGTGTACGAACTTCTATGATTTGTATTGCGGTAGTCGCTTACCGCCTTTTTTTAACGAATGCTAGGCCTTTCGTGAGCAGTGCTACGCAAATCTTCCATATCCAATGATATTATATATATCATTGTTCAATACCTGTCTACTTTGGTCTCTAAGAGACTACCTACCACAATACAAAACAAAATGTCAGCAACGCGTGCATGTGTACGAACCTCTATGATTTGTATTGCGGTAGTCGCTTACCGCCTTTTTTTTACGAATGCTAGGCCTTTCTGAGGAGCTCGATGGCGCAAGTGCTTAGCGCGTTCGGCTGCGATCGTTGAACTTAAGCAACTTTCGCAGTAGTCGGTCATTGGATGGGTGACACAAAATTACTACCTCGAGCTCCTCCGTGCTTCGGAAGGCATGTTAAGCCGTTGGTCCCGGCCGCATCTGCAGTCGTTAGCACCCACCAATCCGCACTGGGCCCGCGTGGTGGGTCATGGCCCAATCTCCCTATTCCATCCATAGGGAAGGCCTGTGCCCCAGCAGTGGGGACATTAATAGGCTGATGATGATGATGATGATGATGAGGCCTTTCGTAAGCAGTGCTACGCAAATCTTCCATATCCAATGATATTATTTAAATCATTGTTCGATACCTGTCTACCTTGGTCTCTTAGAGACTACCTACCACAGTACAAAACAAAATGTCAGCAACGCGTGCATGTGTACGAACTTCTATGATTTGTATGGCGGTTGTCGCTTACCGCCTTATTCGCGGACTAAAATCCTTGGTTTAAACGTAATGTTGTCTCTGTCTCTTTTCAGCAAACAAAAGTGACAGCATACGTTTTAGTAGATAGATAGATAAATCATTTATTCCCATCAGTACAGCACACAAATTCAAGTAAAAAAATAGAACAATTAATTACTAGGTATGTAACTGTGTGCCGCAACGACAGAAAAAGGCAAAAACTCAGCGATACCTTTGCTCTAAGAGCAAAGCACTGGTTTTCAGTTTTGCCTAGAAAGCGCGTAACGTGAAACGACATCGACGTGACGTGATTAATTTATTATTAAGAGAATTAAATTAGATTATATTTTTATTAAATTAAAAAGATTATTTAATTATTATTGATAAATTATTATAATATAACTATATATAATATTATCATTCACCAAAAAATATTAATTATTACTGTTGTTATTACTTTTTAGTATTTCGATTAATATTGAATTTCTGAATTAATATTTACCCATCAGAATTTAACACACACAAATTGTGACACACCTATTAGAAAGCGGCAGAAACCGCTACCATACGACCACATGTGGTTATTCCTAACCTTTGCATTTCTAGTAATATTAATTTTAAATGTTTTTTAAATGTTTGGTGAGATATGATCCTCCTTAGTGGAGGTGGAATGTTGTTCCAGAACCTGGTCGCCTGATAGCGGAAACTACCCTTAAACGCCTTACTACCAGGTTTCAATTTAGTCTTCCTTTTGTAAAAAAGCGGTTAGAGACCAAAGTCATCAGGTATCGAAGATTTGCGTAGAGCTGTGTACGAGGGAGTTCATTTTTCTATGGATGCTTTAGATTGTTATATGTTAACTTTGGCTACATATTAAAAAGTTGCGTGTTTATTTGCAGCCGAAACTAATAACTGCAAATGGATACCCAGTGGAGAAGCATAGAGTTACAACAGAGGATGGCTACCACATACAGATGCACAGGATACCGGCTGGAAGAAGGACGGCCAGAAGGACTGTCGGGTCCGGGGGGAAGGGCAAGCGGGCTGTCCTAATGGTTCACGGACTTGTTGGAAGCAGCGGGGACTTTGTCATCATGGGACCGAAGAATAGCTTGTGTAAGTTATTAATGCCTGATTTATAAAGCTAGACTTTTTGATTGATAACATCTTTCCTCTCGCTTTCCTGCAATAATTTGTGGGAGTGATTTCGTGAAATGGGACGGAAGTGTGTAACAAGAAGTCGCGAAAGCGAGCGCTATTTGATTTGATTTTGGAACATAGTGGCTTATTCCTTTTGTAGTAGGTTTTATTTCTTTTTTAACTTAATATAAGGAGAGGTTTCAAATGTTACACATCATACGCGACTACTGTAAGGCTCGCTCGTTTTTTTTTCATTGTTTCGTAGTCAAATACTCTACGCCACCTGATTTTAAGTGGTAGTAAATTAGATGGTAAAGTAGCTGATGCAGCATATAAAATCTGCTACACTAACCATCGTCACCTTGCCGGCCTGCACAAATGCTTCTTCGTACTCAAGCATTCAAAATGGATGGACTCGGAAATCTTCTTCTTCTTCATGTTCCTCTCCAATTACTGAAGGTTGGACATCGCCTTGAAAACCTCGCTTTGTCCCTGGCGAGGTGAAACAACTCCGCGGCGCTCTTGACACCGGTCCACTCGCGGATGTTTCGAAGCCACGACTTTTTCCGACGGCCTACTGGACGTTTCCCCGCAATTTTGCCCATCATAATGAGTTGCAGTAAATCGTATCTCTTGTGTCTGAAGACATAACCGAGGTAGGCAGGCAACTTTTCTGGTTTTGATGATCTGCATCAATTTGCGAGTTTGGAAATCTTGGTCTCCCAAAATATAGCATACTGCACAATCCGGCACATTCAGTTCTGCAAGATCCGTAATGCCCAGCATGATCTCCACAGCAATATCTGTTTCTAGGTCTGCCCATAAGGCGTCGCTGTTGCCTCCGAAAACATGAATCTTAATATTACATGTCATGAAAACTTTGGTGAGACTGCACGGTAAAACTAAGAGTACCAATATCTTTTTTTTTTGTCTGGGAAATGCTTTGCGCTTCCTTCAACCACCTTTTGAAGCGAGAAGAAGGTATGTGGGACTCCTCCCTGCTCATTTCAGCCAGCCCTTAGGCCGGGCCCTACCTAACGCCCTGAACAGGGCCACTAAAAACCAGACAATACTCCTACACCGGTCACCCCACGTACATTCTGAGGACCGCAGTCCCCCCAATGCATTCCGCGAGTGCGGGTGTGGTCGCGGCAACCGTTGCCGAATGTCCGCGCACCATGAGTCCCAATATCTAAAGTCCAGTATATAATCTATTAAAATAAGTAAGTTGTTGTGTTGTATGAAGAGGGGCCATTCAAGTATGACGTAAGCAGATTTTTTTACAATTATTTACCCCCTCTTCCCCCTTGTCCGCAAAAGTAAGCAAAGCTCTTACTCCCCCCCTCACGTGCTTACGTAAACATTGGTACCTATGCATTTTTCCTTTAATGTATTCTGTTTTTTTTATTCATTCATGAGTATTCATGAGCAGCAGTACTTAAATAGGCTTAGGATAGAGGACTGTATCGCACATAATATTCATTGAAACAGACTTTATTGACACAGTATTCAACATTGAGTAAGGTCCTATTACGAACAAAACCAACTTCTTTCGAATTTTTGGTATATGTATGTATACAATCTTCAGTCCATGACACTCGAATCCATGATGCTGACGTAATCACTATCTCGACCCTCTACCCCCCCCCCCCCCCCCCATGTCATCAAAAATAAGCAACGCAAAGACCGCCCTCCCCCCCTATAGTGCTTACGTAATACTTGAACGGCCCCAGACCAGAATCACCACTTTTCACAAATATGGTTAATTTATATGTTGTCTCCAGCATACATCTTAGCGGACGCCGGGTACGACGTGTGGCTTGGAAACTTAAGGGGCAACATATACACTAGTCATCAGAATCTCACAAGGAATGATCCTGCATTTTGGGATTACAGGTAAATCAATTGGGAACAACTTTGTTTTTATCTAAAGAAAAGTTTACTAGAAAAAAAATCCACGCGGACCAGGCAGCGGACGGGACTCGAACCCGCATCCTTCGCTATCCGGGCGAATGCACTGACCATTATGCTACCACGGCCCTATTAGCCGCGTCGAAATTTTCCTAGCCTTAAGCTGCAAGGCAGCGCCATCTCTTCGGATAGCGAAGGATGCGGGTTCGAGTCCCGTCCGCTGCCTGGTCCGCGTAGATTTTTTTCTAGTAAACTTTTCTTTAGATTTAAACATCTAGCAGTTAAATGCTTAAAAAATAAATAGAATCATAACTTTGTTTTTGATCTGGAAAGTAAGTAAGTGACTGAAAAGTGGAAAAAATAGAAAGACACACTACATATATTGGTATAATCTCAAGGGTATGATTCGATGCCAGCTCGTAAACTACTATAGGACCTTAAGTTCTGCTCTAAGAATTAACTTTTTTCGCTCTGAGTCTTCCATTATGTACACAACTTGGCATCGTGCCAATTGATGGCAGCTAATGAAGAGCAACCGATCTTTGCGAAAGTTTTTAAGATGCCATAATTTCATTACTTCCAATAACCAATACATACAGTATGTCCATAATAACACTGCTATCTTGAGAACAGAACAAATTATGATGAGATATTGTCCAATGTCGAGTACTGGTAGCGGAAATTTCAAGGCACACGGATATCTCTATTCAAACAATATGCACTCGTTTATTTTTTAAATTTTGATGTGGTTAGCGCGATCTGCTGCGATCGTTGAATTTAAGCAACTTTCGCAGTAGTCGGTCATTGGATGGGTGACCAAAAATCCTCTATCTCGAGTTCCTCCGTGCTTCGGAAGGCACGTTAAGCCGTTGGTCCCGGCTGCATCTGCAGTCGTTAGCACCCGCCAATCCGCATTGGGCCTGCGTGGTGGGTCATGGCCCTATCTCCCTATTCCATTTATAGGGAAAGCCTGTGCCCCAGCAGTGGGGACATGATGATGATGATGATGATGATGAAATCGACAGCTTTTATACTTTCTAGATATATAAAAGCTGTCGATTTCAGTATGTTCTTTAATAAACCGACTGTGAATTTACAGTTTTCACGAGCACGGGAAGTACGACGCGCCCGCTATGATTGACAAGGTCTTGAAGGTGACGGGACTATCGAAGATCTTATACATAGGCTACTCCATGGGCACCACGACATTTTTCACCATGATGTCGCAGAAACCAGAGTACAATGATAAGTTGATCGCGTTCGTGGCATTGGCACCCGCCGTGTATGTAGATAACATGAAAGAAATCGCAACGTTCTTCTTGAAATCCATGGATATAATTGTGAGTATTTTTGAAGTTATACTTCTTTAGGCGCGTTATGAAAAAATGATGAGAGTGAAATTTCGAGATGCGCGCGCATCACTGTAACACAATAGTAACACCATGAAGTTGGCCGCGGGCGCGTTATGAAAAAATCATGTGAGTGAAATTTCGAGATGCGCGCGCATCACTGTAACACAATAGTAACACCATGAAGTTGGCCGCGGGCGCGTTATGAATGTTCGTCCACCATTATTAGACATCTGTTCGAAAGGTACTTTGAACGATCCACGGAGCTCCATAAGATGATCGCGTTGTCAAAAACAATGTTGGCACGCTCGTCGCCTCTGATCACTGTTTTCATATTTATAATATTTATCCACATGTTTCTAGTCTCTATATAGACACAACGTGTTTTAGTTACTTACAAGTGCTAATTACATATGGACTAATAACTTAAATTCAGTAGTGATTTTAATTGAATATTTTGAATATTTATTTAATTTTTCAAATTAAAACTGAACTTAATTGACTGTGTTAACTATCCTTTTCCAGTCCTTTTATTATTTTATTGTAATTATTAATTATTTCCATGCAATTAAAAAATATTTTTAATGATGCTAAAGAAGTATAACTTCTCACGCGCGTACATAAGTTACACGCATCCATTTTTTTTTATCGTACGCTAAGTAAATTACTACAAGCGTAATGCTGGGTTTTAATTGCGAATAAAAAGTTGCAACGGTGCGTTATTAGGTGGAGAGTAGAACCCTTGCCTGTGAATGATACACCACAGTTGCATGATTAATCATCATATCAGTATGAAATGAGACTGTTAATTGCGACCAATGACAAATTCTTTGGCTCAGCTTTCCATTAGCTGTGATTGAGTTGCGAGCTGAAATTTTTGTCACGCAAAGTGTTAATTATTAGAAACACGTACACGAAATCTTTTTAGGCGGAAATGAATAGAACTCGAGAAAAAAAATGTATTGAAAATTAATATTTTTATAGGTTAAAAGTCAATTTTGACAGCAATTTTGATCAGTGCTGCCATTTTTTCATGCAAAAATAAGATTTTTCTCGTTGTCTATGGTAAAAATAAGTTTATTATGTTGGTACTATTGTCAAAATGTGACAATTTACCGCCATTTTGTGTTTGTTTTGAGATTCGTCAGGCAGTCTGTGATCGTCGGTAAAAAATATATAAATTATTTACCTGATAAATAAAAAATAAAATGGGCTCAACACTTAGAAAAAAAGGTAAATGTGGCTTTACAACAATCTTCCCCCCCCCCCCCCCCCCACATCAAAACTACCCCGAAATTCAACCGCAGCTAATGGAATTAAGTACCAATTCTTTTATTTTACTTCAAGAGCAAGCGTAAATTGAGCATCCACAAGCTGCGGTGGAGTTTTTACATACATATTTTATAGTATCGGCACAAACTAAGCGTTCTAGTGTCCCAACTAAGCCACTATCGGCGGTATTCGGCGGCGATCGGTGGCTGCGTTTAGTGGCTCAATGTGCGCTTGCTCAATATTGAACTGCTAGATTTTTTTTCAAGACATTTCACGTGATCCAGGTATTAAGCTGCATTCAAACCAGCTCCATTAGCTATATATATCTCCATTAATTAACTGTGAATACAGAAAGAGCAATGTTTTAATAAAAATATCGTTTATCATTAGACAACGCTGCGTCAAAGAGGCATGCTGGCTCTAGGATTTAAACAAGACGTGATGGATTTCGTCGCTGAAAGTTTCTGCACTGCCAGGAACCCAGAATCAGATGTCTGTATGAGAATAATGTACTCCATAGTAGGGGAAGACTACGAGCAACATGATTGGGTAAGTGGAATATAAGTATAGGGCTTGAAACCGGTTTCAAAAATACCGGTAAATAAAGGTTTATACCGGTTTTTAGTAAAGGTTTAGTTCGGAGCGCGTCCGAAATGAAAGCGGTACCTAAAACATTACCTTGAAAATCACTAAATTGATTCAAAACCTATTTGATTTCGCTTTTTTCGGAAAACCGGTTTTTTTAAGGTTAAGGTAGAGCCAAACCTAAATAAAACGCTCCTAATGTACTTGACACTGATTTAGGTTTGAAAATTAACCGGTAAACAAGCCCTGAGTATAACATTAATGAGTACTTATAGTTACATGTGAATTAATCATTAGATTAATAATAGCTATAAATCACTTTTTCCAGGATATGACACCAATATTTATAGCAAGAGCACAGCCGGCGTCTTGGAAACAACTGGAACATTTCGGGAAAATTGCCATGACAAGTAAGGGTTTAATATTAACATATACACTTAAAACATGTTTATTTAATATCTATAGATATAAAGAAAATTTTTACTAGAAAATAATCCACTACTACGTTATTTATGTCTGACTGAAGGATATTTATATCGTTTGATGTGTTAACAGCTCTGTATACTTTTAGATCGTTGGCATATAGTTTGAATTGGGATCTTATTACTCCAGCAATATCATTGATAAATATTAGAAAAAATAAGGGTCCCAAGTGGTGCCCTTGAAGTACACCTGAGGGTATGGTCCTAGCTCTAGATTTATATCCGTGTATAGCAACCAACTGAGATCGATTTAAACATCTAGCAGTCAAATGCTTAAAAATAAATAAAAACATATCTATATATATAATTATATTACAAAGCTAAACTCTTCTGTTTGTTTGGTTGAACGCGCTTATCTCACAAATTACTGCTCCGGATAGTTTTTTTTTTGTGTTGGATAGTGCTTGTATCGGGGAAGGCCAACAGCTATATAACATATCGCTAAGATTAGTAGGAGCGCAGCATAAATTAAAAATTTCACAAAAACGGGAAATAATATTTCACTTTATAAATCTTTCGTTGCCTGCGCTGCGTAACGGTAAGTTAACAAAAATTATGTACGACGGAATTGTTTATCTTAAAAAGTTCTATAGGAAAAGTCCGCGACTACATATGCCCGCCCGTTGTAAAGATTCCCACTTCTATGTTTGCCAAATTTTATACAAATCCTTGATACATAACGAGTAGTATTTACTACTACGGACTAATGTGAATCAACTTTTCTTTACTTTGTGTTTCACCTCCCTATTTTCTTGTATACCTACTTTTATCTTTACTATCCTTCTATGCTTCCTCTTTCAGACTTCTGCCCGCGCCCCTGGCTGTATCAAATAGCAGCCTCGAGCACGGACAGTATATTATTAAACACGTTGAAATTTGAATAAGATTAACCTAGTTAAAGAGACATATTGTAAATAATTGAATAAAACTATTATGAAAAACAAAATTCCTTGATACATCTCTCGACAAATTCAATATTTTGGTAGGTTGTAAATTTTGACATTTTCATTAAAAGCACGTGTATTTCAGGCGTATTCACTGAGTGGGCAGATGGTTTATGGGGCGCTTTGAAACCGTACCGACTTGACAACGTTAAGATACCAGTGTCCTTATTCTACGGACTGAACGACAGGCTAACGGAAAAATCGGTAAGGAATCATAAATGCGACTTCAACATTCTGCATAGCACAACATTAATTTCATGATTGGGGGCTCAGCTTTCCATTACCTGTAAAAGAGTTGTAAGCTGATTTTTTTGTCACGCAAAGTATTAATTATTAAAAACACGTACACGAAATCTTTTTCCGAAGGAAAATCCCGAAGAAGAAAAGGATCGTCATGATGTGGAGAATACGTGTGTATGTACTTCGTTAAAGGATTTTTTACACCCTGTTTATAGTTACAATAAATTTTATAGTTAACATTATATTTAGTACTAGTGGCCCGCCCTCGCTTCGCTTCGGTGTAGAGCTGTAGTGTAAACTATAGTTTTTGTTCTCGGGCTTGTGTTATAAACAATGACTTTATTTATATAATTACACGTGTTATTGTGAGTCAACCATAAAAGATAGACATATGCTGTTGCGGGATATTTTTTTGACAATTTTATGTAGAATATTTCCGTCATACATGATTTCTATGTAACTTTAACCATAAAGGCTGCACACGCGACGGAAGCTTAAAAAATGGAGTAACTTCTCCCGTTTTCCCAACATTTCCCTTCACTACTCTGCTCCTATTGATTGTAGCGTGATGAAAAGTATACTATAACCTGCCCAGGAGTATGAAGAATAATTGTATCAAGTTTCGTTAAAATCCGTCGAGTAGTTTTTGTTTCTATAAGGAACATACACACAGACAGACAGACAGACAAACATTTTACTGATTGCATTTTGGGCATCAGTATCGACCACTAATCACCCCCTGACAGTTATTTTGAAAATATATTTCATGTACAGAATTGACCTCTCTACAGATTTATTATAAGTATAGATATAGGAAGCGGCAGCGTGTTATTTCACTGTGGTCTTCTGCACGGTGAAGTTTGCTTCCCCAGACAAGCGCTCCCATTCGAGCGGAAAATCCGCAGTACCCTACCCCTCTTCCTTCTACTACATACTTCCTAAACGCAAAGTTATTTGTTTCAGGGTATACTCCGATTGGCGGCAGAACTAAACGAAACTGGCGTACTTCACTCTATAAAGGGGTGCAACTGGCCAAAGTTCAACCACCTAGATTTCGTTTTCGCAAAAAACGTCGGCAAATTGGTGAACAGACCGCTGGTCGGTCATATAGACGAACTACACAATAAATATTATGTACAATGACTTTTTATTTGTTATTAAAAAAAAGAATCCCAGTACAGTGCGACCAAAGTTTTTGGCGGGATTCCATCGAGTGTGGTTGGCGTCTTATTTTAATTATTCTTAAATTCGTTCATAGTGGAAATATTGTGAAATAAAATTGGTGTGATTTTGTGTTACAACTGTCTGCGTACTTGAAGAATTAGTAGAAAATAATCAAAATATACGCTATTCCGGTCAAGTGGACGTGAGAATTTAATTGTAGTATTGACTACCTCACAGAAGATTATCGAAAAAGCCAGCTCGATACATTTCGTGCCAAACACTTCAAGACATTAGAATGCGTCACACCGACATTCTAATGTAAAAAGAAAAACAGAATAATTTAACTTAAGACTAGGCTGTATAGGCATTGTTCCCCTTGCCTTCCCTGAAAAGGGAGAACTTAACCAAAAAAAACACTGCGACCAAGACCTTTATCAATGTGGCGAAAATTGGAACTAACGCCACCGTCTATGTAAACGTCATATTTTGTATGTCATTGCCGGTCATTTACAATTCATTTAGGTAGATAGAGGCTCCCTCCCTAATCTATCATTCACGTTCATAAAGATCTTGGTCGCACTGTACAGTAGGGTGGTCCTTATTTTGGGTAAGTCGGAATTTCAAACCTCTCACCCCTTGCATATCTCCCATTTGCCAAAAAAAAAATGTGTGCAAAGTTTAAGCCCAATCGGACAACGTTTACCCGTGGCCCAAGAGGTTGAAAGTTCAATATTCGTGCCAATATGTAAAAACTAATTTTTGGGCTCGTTTTCGTGTAGAGCTGCGACGAAAAATTGCAATGCGCTATAATCCACAGCGTTTCTAACTACATTAATAAATAATGGATGTATAGACGCTGAGTTCAACCAAAAACTAAATTTTTTTTTTACAGTGGCCAGCCGATGAATTGTGATTCGTACCACCCATAACCTAACGTCCAAAACCTAGAACAATTTTACTGCGATTTGTGAACACAACAATGGAACGCCGGAGCAATACATCCAAAAACCTTTATTTAATCGGATACTATACCAACCAAATTGTTGGTCATAAGTTGCCTTCAAATATTCAAGTGCTTCGTGTATTATTCTTTAACCTACGTGAAGTGCAACTGAATTTACGGGATAGTGCGCGTTTAGTGATAGACGAGGCCATTGTCTTTTGGCAAAAAGCGCGTATACCGACCCGAGATCTTCAACATTGCATATCGAAACTAGAGTCTTTGTACGATAAATGGAAAAACCTGCAAAAGCATGTAAATAGACATACGGAAAACGAACGAAGTAAAAGAAAAATGTTCGTGGAAATATTCGATGACCTTTTCGATATTGCTCACGCAAATGCACTCGAGATGGTTCCAGAAGAAGGTAAACTATTTCTACTTGCGCAACGAGAAAAAGGACGACGAGGATCCTTAGTCGGCATCGATCGTGGAGCGGTGACAAAAGAAAAATCAGTTGCCCGGCAATTGGAAATAAAAGAGGAGCGAAAAAAACGATGCTACGAGGAAATGCAAGCACTTAGTACGGAAAATATTTCCACTTTTTGATGTTGTTTTTTTATATGAGGAAGATCATTATAGCGTCATGTTTTTCGTGAATTTCAGGCGAGCAAGTTGAATTGTTATCATCATCCGAACCATCGCAACCATTAAGTTCACAATCACAGTCAAGCACCAGTGACGAGCCCGGCCCACCACCATTGAAAAAGAGAGCCACACAGGAATTCTTTACTCCAAAACTCGCCGCAGCCTTCGATAGATGCAAAATTAGTGACCGGGATGCCGTACATATTCTGTACGCAGTTATTGAGGCACTAGGACAACAGCCAGATGTATTGATCATCAACCGTTCATCAATTCATCGCATCCGTGAGCGTTTGCGCCAAGAACGTACCGAACAAATTCGAGAGAAATTTAGTTTATCTGAAGTCAAAGCAGTCACCGTGCATTGGGATGGGAAGTTGCTTCCAGCTTTAACTGGAAAACATCTCATTGATCGCTTACCCATAATCGTGACGGGTAAGGATATCGAACAACTCCTTGGAATTCCTGAGCTGTCAGCGGGAACGGGAGTAGATCAGGCGTCAGCTGTACATCAGGCCTTGGAGGATTGGGGTCTTACTGACAAAGTACAAGCTCTTTGCTGTGATACAACAGCATCAAATACTGGCCGACTCCGTGGTGCCTGTGTTCTGCTGGAACAGTTGCTAGAGAGAGATCTCTTGTATTTACCGTGCCGACATCACTCCTTCGAGATAATTTTAAAAAGCGTTTTTGACGAGAAAATTGGACCGACGTCGGGACCGGTCATACTTCTGTTTAAGCGTTTCCAGCAACAATGGAGTAAAATTGACACAAAAAACTTTTCACCCGGAATTCACGATGCGTGTGTCAATGGAAAGCTAAACGATAAAGCAGGAGAAATTCTTTCATTTGCAATGGAACGGCTCGGCGAACATCACGACCGAGAGGATTATCGCGAGCTTCTAGAATTAATCGTAATCTTCCTCGGTGGGAGCCCACCTCGCGGTGTTTTTTTTCGTACTCCAGGAGCAATGCACCACGCTCGATGGATGGCGAAAGCGATTTACAGTCTCAAAATTTTCATGTTTAGAACTTCCTTTCGCCTCACATCTCGTGAAGAAAATTCAATTTGCGACGTGTACATTTTTCTGGTACTCGTTTATGTAAAAGCGTGGTTTTGTTCCAGCAATGCTATCGAAGCACCGTACCACGACTTACAATTTATTCAACAATTGTCTTCATATGAGACAATTGATTCTAGTATATCTCGCGTAGCGCTGAAGAAGTTTTGCGGCCAGTTGTGGTATTTAACAGCAGAAACTGCGGCTCTTGGATTTTTCGATGCGAAGATATCCGTACCCCTAAAGAAAAGAATGGTCGCCGCTCTCAAAAGTACCGATGGGATTTTCGAGATGAATAAGCGGCTCACTATTCGCTCCAGTGACGTGCCTGAGTTAATTTCTAAGGGCATAGATGATTTCATTTCCATGGACTCAAATAAGCTCTTTGTACGATTTGGTGTATCTTCTGAGTTCCTTAACGAGGATCCGTCGACTTGGAACAGTAATCAAACCTACTTAGATGCGTTAGAATTCTTCAAGAGCGTCAGAGTGGTAAACGACGTGGCTGAGAGAGGAGTAAAATTAATGGATGACTACAATAAAGTCATTACAAAAAATGAAGAACAAAAGCAAAGTCTTTTACAAGTCGTCCAAGACTATCGTAAAACATTTCCGGACTGTAAGAGATCTACGATGTCCAAGCAATTTTAAAAAAAATGTAAAATAAATTCAATCATTTTTATTTATATAAAATCACAGACGTGTGCGAATACCATCTCATGGCTCCTGCCACGAGTTTCCTTTGTATTTATATTCAATTATTTTCATTTAATTAATTATCTACGTCAATGCGACTAGAATCGAACAGCGACAGAATGTATAACAGAATACATGATTTATATCTAAAACAGAATAATAATTTCATATTCAAAAACACGATTGTTAACCATCAATTTTATTCATCATCCTTTTTATTTCTGCGCACCTGAAATGCTAACATTACATCGCGAAATTTCTGAGGATCCGTTTCGTATACGCTTTTCGTTTCTTATCGATATCACAGTCGCAAGTGTTCACGAGTTTCGTTCAGAAATATTAATGAAACAAAATCAAAGGCGATAATGAAACCAAAAAACCATTTTGGTGGTTTTTACCATTTCGCTACAATATTAAACTTTGACCCTCTTGGGCCACGGGTAAACGTTGTCCGATTGGGCTTAAACTTTGCACACATTTTTTTTTTGGCAAATGGGAGATATGCAAGGGGTGAGAGGTTTGAAATTCCGACTTACCCAAAATAAGGACCACCCTACTGTACAGTTTACCCTTTATTATACTGCATTAAATGAATGTCTTATGGTAGCCATAACAGTTTATCGTACGTGGCGTACGTATAGGAAACTGTGCAGTTTTATAACATACATGCTACGATTTATCGGTACCGTTCGGACTGTACAGTCTAATCGTAAAGATTTCTCGTAGTGTGTATGTCTACTATTAAAAAACCTACCTTTCTGGTTATATTACTTATCATCGACATTATTAGTCTATTAATGTCTCCACTGCTTGGACACAGACACAGGACTTCCCTATGGTTGGAATAGAAAGATTAGGCCACACTATGTGGTTGCGGATTCGTGGGTGCTAACGACTACAGATGTAGTCGAGACCAACAGCCTAATATGTCTTCTGAAGCACGAATGAGCTCGAGATAGCAAAGGACATGGTAAAGTTTTGTATGAGCAACTGCCCTGGCAATGTATAAATACTGTACTTAGTAATATTTAATGGTAAATGGCTGAATATTTATAATTTCTATGAAAAAAGGCTCAGGAACTTTTGATAAAGTCACAATCTTGAAAATTATGAGAACTCCTACTATGTCATTACTTTACTACAGTTGATAAAAGTTGTTGCCAATTATTAACAGAGTCGTGAATTTCGCATTTTCTTAGAATCTTTCTTCTCATTCACAAAAAGTTTTTTTAAACCAAAAATAAATACAAATAATTTGTTATTGTCGGCCTGACAGCAAATATGTGAAGTTTTATTTTGTCCATTTGAAAAAATTAAAGAATTAATTATCATACAGCCTTGTCTCAAGCCTGATCAGAATAATAAATTTCATATTCAATAATCTATTATTTCAGGCCTCCCGTGATTTGTTATAATAAAAATTAGGGCCAAATGTGTCATAGTTTGAAGAAGTTTAGAAATAATATTGTTTATTTCGATATACTTTCACAAATATTTTTTGTGTACATAGGTATATTGTTCAGGTATTTTGTAAAACGGAACAGTTTGCTTTCGAAACAGGCATGAAGTCAATATTTATACTTTTAAATATTTGATTATTTCACCAAAGTTGTATGAGAATAATAAACACGTAATAATTAATAAAAAAATATTTTAAAGTTACGGGCTAGTGCGAAATATT